CATTAACCCACAGCACCACCCTCATGTTTATTTATGTATCCCAAAATATAGTCATCCGTTTATTTAGATATCTGTTTATTCAAAAAGTATTTATTTAGTTCCATATGTCTTACTGGGGATACTTCAGTGATCAAGATACAATCCCTTTCCTCTTAGTCCAGAAGCGTAGAGCAATTGTTGTTGTGAAGTGCCATTGAGTCAGTTCTGACCCACAGTGACCCTGTATAGGGTTTCCTAGGAGTGGCTGGTGAACTGGAACCATCCACCTTGTGATTCAAACCAACTTTGCATTAACCCACAGTGCCACACCAGGACTCCAGTCAGAACAATAGACGTGGAATTTTAGTTCAAGAGACAAACAATATGATAGCAGGAAGTCCAGGCTACTAGAAGACAAGGTGGTGGTTTAATAATGACCTGAAGAGCAGGTTGAATACTGGCAGCCATGAGGAGGTTTGATGGTCCTACGACTGCAAGCATCGAGGAAGTGGGATGGGAGTGGGAAGGACTCGAAGAAGCTAGAGTGATGGAAGGTTCTAGATGATAGGGGCATGAGTGACATTGTAGAAGTTTGAATTTTATCCTGAGTCCATCATAGAGCCGTGGAAGGCTGTCTTCCAGGACTGCCGTCTCCAGTGGGAGCTGTGGGAGCTGCAATCGTGGACCCAGAGAAAGCTTATGAGATGTTTAGTGGGGGAAAGAACATGGAGTTGGAAACCAGGAGAGCTGGGGTCAAGCATCAGATCTGCTTCTTACTGGCTAGTGACGTTGAACCTTAGTTTTGGTATACTTAAAAAGAATAATAATGTTCCTGTGAAGACTAAATGAGGTAATGTTTATAAAACCACTTTGTAAATCGTAAAGCTCTGTAACTGTACTTTTAGAAAAAATGTGTGTGTGTGTGTGTGTGTGTGAAGGAATATTATATTACATCAGGTGTTCTCAAATTGGGTTGCATACCAAAATCAACGGAAAAACTTTTAAAATACAAATTCTCCAGATTTTTTGGACCGATCATCTCTATGATAGGGCCAAGTGATTTGCATCTTAAGAACATCTGTGAGGTAATTCCGACCCGACAATCCACAAACTGACATTTGAGAACTATAGACTGGTCTGGTCCTCCCCACCTCCCATCCCAATCCTCCATATACTATGGTTGAAGTAAAAAATGTAAAGACACTCCCCCAAGGTCAAAAAGCTAGTGTGGGCAAGTCTATGGCTAACATTGAGTTCTCTTGATATTAATTCATTGCCGTTATATGTACGTATATATACTTAGCTTCAGGTCACTTAATTCAGTCACCATTGAAATAAGGAAGTGTTACTAATCTTTTGGGGACATTGGCGGTTCAGTGGCAGTTCTTCTTTTGCATGAGGGAGACCGGGTTCCATATCCTGGCCAGGGCATTTTAAGCACTGCCATGACTTGTGTGTGAAGGCGTGTGTGCTGCTATGATGCTGAATAGGTTTTAGTGGAGCATACAGGCTAAAACACAGTAGGAAGAAAGGTCTGGCACGCTATTTCTGAAAACCAGCCAGTGAAAATCCTATGGATCACAAAGGGCCAACCCAGCTGATCGTGAGGATGGCGTAGGACCAAGCAATGTTTTGTTCTGTTGTGCCTTTGGCTGCCATAAGTCAGGAGCCAACTTGAGAGCAGGTAATAACAACAACAGCCAATCTTTAAGATCCATTCTAGTTCAAAATCTTTATTTCACACGGGGGGAAATGCTTCAATAGACGAGTAAAAAAAGAAAACAAAAGTTATTGAAGCTTAACTCGGTGTTTGTTTCTTTGCTAATTAGGTTGTAAATACGCTTGAAAGTGCTCAAGCCAGTTTATATTTTGCGGATGATCCTCCTGCATCACTGAATTCCTTCCGGTGTCCTTCTCCCCTCTTCCTGGATAACATACCAAGCATTCCAGTGGAAGATGATGAAAACCGGACCATTCATTCACTGCCTCAGCATAAGGACTTGAGAAAAGATAGAGTGACTCAGAACTTTCCTTTTGAATGCAGCCAGTCTGAAGTTACATTTTTGAGCTTTGACAAAAAGTCGGGGAGTAACAGAAATGAGGATGCTTGCTGCATACCCAGTTCTTCTTGTGAAGAACGTGGGTCCCCAAAGCATGAAAAGCCATCCCAGGACCTAGAGGCCTGTGATGTAAATATGGTCACTTCCAAGTCTATAGGCGATGCTCATGGAAGCAAGCTAGTGGAGACAACATGTTCCTCTGAATTTTCCTGGAATTAATGTGAACAGTAGAAAAAGAAATTGCTCTCATCAAAAGATAAAGAAAAAAGCAAGTAATTCTGAGTCACCTGTCTACAGGTATTATCTTGGGTAGGCCTTACCTCCATGGGTAATACCAAGAGAACAGTTTGGATGTGAGTTTGGGTGACACAGATATGCCAGCCAGATAATTTCTGTCTTTCCTTCCCAACCCCTAAAATACAGTGCCTTAAAAAATAGTTTAATCAGTATAATTGCTTTATGATCAAGCCCAAACTAAATTACAGGGAAAATGATTAGAAACATTCAAAATCACTTGAGATTATGGGCTCTGCCTTCAGACACACAGAACCTTCAAAATCTACCCAAAAGAGAGATTTTGATTTCTAATATCTTCGTTCAGTCAATTATCAGTGTGAGTCTCTATGGGGCTAATACTTTCTGTTGAATTTCATTGTTTGGTTTTGCTTGCAGGGATTCTAGAAATGTCTAATGTGTAAGTATCAGTTGATACCTTTTTGAAGAGTTACCATTTTGTTTATTTTGATTGGTTTGTCCTTAGACTTTTTGTGGTCATCTGTGGCTTAGCCAGGCTCACCCTTGACCATGGTAGGTTCTGTTTAGAGAGGGGATTCCTGACCAAGATTATGTCTTTATGTGTAAACTATCATGACAGTTTGTCACATATAATACAATTGTCAACTATTATTATAACTATTTACAAACCTAGAGATCTAATTTATCCTGAATCTATATATTTGTCTATAGCCATGTTGTTGTTGTTGTTAAGTGCCGTTGAGTCATTTCCGACCCATAGCGATCCTGAACAGGGTTTCCGAGGCTATAAATCTTTACGGGAGCAGAAAGCCTCATCTTTCTCCCGTGGAGCAGCTGATAGTTTTGAACTGCTGACCTTGCGGTTTGCAGCCCGATTCATAACCACTACGCTACCATACTACCCTGAATATGCCTGATCTCATTGGAATTTATGCATTTTTTTAAATTATTACTGAGTGATTTTTTTGCCTCTGAGGAAATGGATGGTCACAGGGCCTTGGTCAGCTTTTGGTTTGGTGCCGTCCCTTCCAGCACTTTGTCTTAGCCCTGCAGTTTCCTGGAAGCTTTCTTTTCAGAAATCCTCTTCAGTCTTTCTGGGCCCAACAAAAGCACTGCGTCAACCCAGAAAGCTTTCCTAATCCGTGCAGTCATGAGTACTCCTCATTTTATCAGTATGTTCATACCAGCTTTATGTTTTCATTTGCATTTCTAGTTTACATTTCTCACTTTCTCTGAATTGTATCAAAGTTACTCTATAAATTGCAAGAGACTATTTCCAGAGTTTTTCATTGACTTCTTAATTTGAAAATTTGCTTCCAAACCAACATTAGAGTCGTTCCTGCAAGGAGGTAGGAAGAGCTTCCTTGCAGGAGATTCAGACACAGTTAACTTTTATGTGTCTAGTTGTTTGGTAGGTGTTTTCATATATCACTGAAGCTTGAAACAGCCTACTGAGATGGATTTCATTACTAGAAGGCCAAGACATATAAGGCTTAAAGAAGGTAATTCTTGTCCTAAGTCACTTAACTGACGGATGCAAACTGAAACTCTTCAGTGCAAGTCCAGGGAGTATTTTGCACTAAAAACACGTAACTTACAAATTAGAAGTATTGCCTATTTGAAAATAAAAGTGGATAACCAATATGTGTGTTTGTTATATTATTATTATTATTGTTAATTTTGTACTTCCAGATTGGTAAAGATTTAAACAATTGACTAAAATATAGGCAAGTGAATGGGCTTTATTGTTCACTGTTGGCAATAGTGAAAATTGATACAACCTTTCTAGAAGGCTTTCTGATGCATAGTGACCCTATATAGTGTTTTCACGTAGTAGCTGGTGAATTTGAACCACTAACCTTGCAGTTCACACCGACGTTGAGGTCTAGTGCATTATCTCACAGCATCACACCATGTAGAGTTATGTTTATTGCTATGGAAATTTGTCCATGAAATGTTGCTGAATGAAAAAGCAGATTACAGTGGGACCCTATCCAGAGAATCAGACACACACCAGAGATGGAGACAGAGATGATGACATGGAGAGAGAGAGAGCAGCTGGGCACTCTCAACTCATGGAGAGAGAAAGGCTGTGTGCTGGTGGCCAGGAGGCAGGCTTGCAAAATGTGCCCTTTGGTTATTTAAATGATTACATATTCCTGAGTGTTTTTGTGTACATCCCACCCACCCCCCAAAAAAAACAAACAGAGGGGATAGAAGCAAATACTATTGAGTAATGATGCAAGGAAGGGATTGTATAATATTGCAATGAAACGATGAGTGTAAAACTGATGTACTCCCATGTAAACTATCACTCAATTTACAACAAAAACTTATTTAAAAAAAGAAAGAAAGAAAAAGCAGATTCTAGAACAGTATGTTTAATATGAGTCTATCTATAACACTGGGTATTTAAAAATATATTTGATAGATATTCACCAAAATACTAATATATTTTTTCCCTGTTTTGTATTATTTGGGTGGTCTTTACTTTCTTTGTATCTCTATGTTTGTGAAAACTTTAATAATGAGTGTACATTATTTCATTATCAAAAAAGAATAAAGCTATTTTTATTTTGGAAAAAACTGTGATCTCTACATGCCTACATTTCCTTGGTTCTTTGTTGTCCACTTTACTTGTGCCCTTGGTAACGACCTACAACTAGTACCAATGCTTCTAGTCCATTGCTCTTTATTACTTGTAATAAATAAAAAGTGGCTGGAGCTACTAAATGGATTTGTCAGGTATCCCTTGAGTAATGAGCTTTGAGAAGGCAAATTAAAAAAGCAACCCAAGAGGTGAAAACAGACAAGCTGAAATACAAAAGAGTGGAGAAGAGATCATAGAACACCATGAGAATATTTTATAGTAAAGTATTAGTTAATTTTGGTAGTCTTAAAAACAATTACCCTTAGATTTATACTTATAAAAACCCATATAACCTATAGTTAAAAGATCTTTGTAAAGATCAATCTTTAGATCATGTAGTAGCCTTTCTCCAGACTTGTGCCCCACTGTCAGGTTTTGACCTAATAAAGTTGTTGGCTTTCTGAATTTAGTAGACTCTGAGCTGTAGTTACCAGTTGGAAATAAAACTTGCAGCTGCATAGAGAAAGTGTGACTGAGTGTGGTACTTTCCTCTAGCAGGTAGGGATGAGCCTGTGTGACCCGGCTGAGAGGTCCACAATGTGCATTAATTACAAAGGGAAGTAGCAAGGCGTACTCCCTGAGTAAAATACGAACTCCAATTAATTCTGTCTGGAGGGACTGTTTTGTGGACATAACTGAGTTACCGAGTGTGTAAATATGATAAAAAGCACACCTTAATCAAGTCCAAATAAAAGATAATGAGTGCTGGGGTTTTAAGAATACAACACAGCTACAAATTATGTTCTTTTGACACCAAAAAAATGTATTGGTGTTGTTTTGTATTTTCTGAAATGCCAGATAATATTAACGTACAAACCATCACTACAAAGATTTCCACAAAAGAGAAGGTAAGGAATCGAGTATACAAAATAGCAAAGTAGAAAATGAAATCACTTCTAAACAATACATTGGTGTAAAGTGTAAATAATCTACAGTGGCCTTCTTAATCCCATTATTCACTAATGATCATTTTATGTCATTTTAAAACTATGCAGGCTAATTACAGTGTAATTGCCGGACCATTAAACACTGGATCGTGTGATTTTTGTGTGTGTGTTCATGATTATAGTACAGGATTTTTAAAATTTTTTTTTTAAGAGCTGAAAAGACTTCAGCCAAGGGCAAATATCAATCTGTAACCTTTCATTGTTTTTATTTTGTAAACCCTGGAGGAAAATGTAAGATTCCAGTGTACTTACAAAATCAAGTATACATGTTTATAATACCGCACTATTGGCAAGTCTAAGGCTATTGCTATAGCAATCTTTGACAGTTTCATTATACTTTGGCCTAGCAGTTAGAAAAGGGAGAAAATAATCCATGTGATTACTATACTAGAAACCCATTTTAGCCATTTAAAACATTTCCTAATATAAAATTATCACTATATTTAGAAGATGTTGCCATCCTATTTCCTATTGATTTCAGTAGCCATCTGACTGAACCAAATCGTACCATAGCCTGACAATTAAAAGACCTCATTAATGACAGTGAAGGTACATCTTCTACTTTACTTTATCCACTAATCACACAGCCATCCCCTGAAACTGCCACACATCAGAACTCAGAGGATGTTGTCTTTGGCCTTATAAGAACTTCCTATCATCCAATTTCTCTATTTTTTTCCTGGCCTATCAATCACCATCTTCTTACTTGTCCACCTTCCCCAGGTTTTTCTTTGCATGGAATGAGCCTTTGGCTTGCTTGTATTAGTTATTGTCCCGACAGGGATATAGAAGCTCTATTGGATATTGCACAAAGAAAAAAAAATAATACTGGGAACTGATGTGAATTTATCCAGAATAATACCTATAAAAAGCTGTCCTCACTCTTAAGGGTGAGGGACTAAAAAGAGAAATTGTAACTCAGAATCTCTGACCATTGTGTGGCAGAGGTTCCTGAGAACTTGCTGCTGTTACTTCTGGAACTGTGTTTCCAAAGAGGAAAGCAGAAATGTGGACTGCCCCTTCCCGGTGCTGTTGCTCCAATCACTTCCAGAAGCCCAAGCAGAAGCAGAGAAAGAAAAAAGCAACTGCAGTAGTGGTTACGAATCAGGCTGCTAACCTGATCATCAGTTCGAAACTACCAGCTGTTACACGGGAGAAAGATGAGGCATTCTGCTCCCGTAAAGACTGACAGCTTTGCAGTCTGGGCCATTAACCCGCAGAGCCACACCAGGAGACCTTGTAGGAAGGAGTAAAGCTGCATAAAGTACAACTGTCCCATAAGGTTTCTAAGACTAATCTCTATGGAAGCAGATTGCCACATCATTCTCCCAAGGGAAGCTGGTGGGTTTGAACTGCTTACCTTTCTGTTAGCATCCAAGAGCTTAACCACTGCAGCACCAGGGCCCCTTATAGATGCAGATAGA